CTCTCAGTAGACGTGTACCGACGATGTGATCGATGACACCGATGAAGAACTATACTATCTTCAGAAGTGCCAGGCAAGCAAAACCCCCTTGTTCATTCCGATACAATCCTACTCTCTCGCTCCTACTCTCTTTTACTGCATTAGGACAACAATAATTCATCTGTTACTTGTTGCGGTAGCTGAACCCCTTTATCCTCTGCATGACCTGTCATTGCCACAGTAAATAGATGAAACCCACTAGCATGAGTAGGAGTTGTTTGAGCCCTATTGTGCCTACATATTCATGCTTTTTTGTCATGCCTGCTACTGCTTAGAGTTGAGTCAGGTCTGATTCATCGGGAATGAATCAGAGGTGTGTGAACATGTCCTATTGTGTGTGAGCTAAGTGTGCGAACACGATTTGGTAAAGATAGTGGTGAGAGGCCATGTAGGAGTACATGGTGGGTTGTCTCATTGAAGCCGTCCTCAGAACTGAGTTCTGTGTTTGTGATCCATGAAACAGTTACTACCACGCATTGGGCGCGAAACCAATGGACCCTCTCGGCTTCTTAATCACCCTTGTCCTTTGTCCAGGAGTTGCAAGTAGTTTTTGGTGTTTGTAGCATGCTGGAGGCCGTGGGCAGCGCTGACCCGTGGGGTGGGCTGTGATGCGGTAGGCATGTGGCCGGGTATGCCGGGTGCCCATTTGGTGTCGTGGAACCATGTACACATCGTTCGGGGCCGTATGTGGAAACCTCGGCCGGACTCCCTGCGGATGGAACCTGAATAGGTGATAAACCTGGACTAGAGACTTGAGTGTTTAGGTCGGTCGTGGCCAACACCCTCGTTGGGCTTCCGCTTGAAGGTTGCCGAGTACATGTCGTGTAAACGGCGGTAAGTGGTGAGAGCGTGTGTGAAGAAGTACACCCCTGTAGGGTTAACATCATCTATTCAAATAGCCATGTCCGCGGTAAAGGACTTCTGGGTTGCCTGTACAGTTCATAGACAAGTGAAAGTGGATACTCTAAAATGCGCAAGATAAGTGTGAGTGCTATGGATGGCCTTCTTGTAGGGTGACGGGAGCGGATCCATAGTGGTGTATTGATATGGTGAATATATGGACTCGTGTGCGCCACCTCAAAGAGTTACTTGCAATTGTAGTTCAGGATAGCCACCGAGTCAAAGCTGGCTTGCTGCAGTTAAACTCCACCATCCCCTTTGTTGACATTGATGCATATGTAGCTAGTTCTGATGTAAGTCCTGCTGGGTACATTTGTACTCACGTTTGCTTAATTTATGTTTTTGTAGAGAGACTTCAGTCTCACTAGTAGTTCCACGTGGACTTCGACGTTTAGCTTGTTACCTCAGCTACGATCTTGTGCCCTCGGCAGGATCTGGTAGATAGTCAGGCTTCTCGGCCTTTTTCATATATAGATGTCTGTACTCAGACATGTTAAGCTTCCGCATGTGCTTAGACTTGTATGCTCTGAATGTTGGGTCGAGAGACCCATGTTTGTAATATCTCGCTCTTCGAAGCCTATTGAATAAAATACTTGAGTTGTAGAGTCATGTTGTGATGCCATGTTGTATTTGCACATATCGAGCATATTTGTGTATGTTATCGAAATGCTTGGTATGTGTGGGGTCTGACTATCTAGTTGTTTATCCTTGGTAGCCGAAATGTCTCCTAGTGCTTCCACTGAGCCCTGGTAGCTTGCTACTGATCCGGAACACTTAGGTTGGCCGGCATGTGTCCTTCTTCGTTCCTGTGTCTGTCCCTTCGAGGAAATGTCACGCGGTGTCTATCGGAGTCCTGTTAGCCTGCTACAGCCCGGTTTACCGGAGTTCTGCTAACCCAGTTGCTACAGCCCGGATTCACTCGCTGATGACCGACACGTTCGTTGTTGGGTCATGTATGCCTATCCCTGTAAATTAGTGCCACTTTGGATTTACGACTAGCCATGTCAGCCCGGGTTCTTTGTCATATGGATGCTAGCGACACTATCATATACGTGAGCCAAAAGGCGCAAACGGTCCCGGGCCTGGTAAGGCGACTCCCGTGGGAATACCGTGCGTGAGGCCGCAAAGGGATATGAGGTGTTACATGCTAGATCGGTGTGGCATAGGATCGGGGTCCTGACAGAAGAGATCTAGATTAACAAGGATAAAAGAAGATGATGCAAACACAAAGTTCTTCCATCTAAGGGGAAATGGGAGGCATCGGAAAAACCATGTTCCAGTCTTGAGAGGCCCAGGAGACAACCAATCATGAGAAAAAAACCTGGCAATTTTATGACACCACTTCAGTTCTTTGATGAGTGCCCCCTTAGATACCTATGGGGAGCTAAATTGACAGGTTGCAACTCCCACGCCTTGATTTGCAGGCTCTTGACGAGGCTTTATCTTTGGAGAAGCTAAAGGATGCAGTTTCTGCATGTCATCCTGAGAAGGCACCCATCTCAGATGGATTCATTGCTGCATTTTACAGGAGCTGCTAGGAAATTGTCAAAAAAGACCTTATCTGAGCTATGAGTCAAATCCATCAAATCAGGGGGAATTCCTGGCATCTTCTAAACACGACGAATTTGGTTTTAATGCCGAAGAAGGAGGGTTTTGACATGGCATCTGACCTTAGACCTATCAGCTTGATGCACAGCATGGCGAAAATCCTTTGTAAAATTTGGCAAATAGGCTCACACCTTCTTTGAAAGAGCTAATATCTCCATGTGGAAGTGTGTTCATATATAAGAGGGTGCATAGAAAGCAATTTTCTGTATGTAAATGATTTCATAAAAGATGCTCACACGACGAAACACCTGCTCGTCTCCATGAAGCTTGACGTTACAAAAGCTTTTGACTCTATTGGATGGCCCTACATGATGAAGGTAATGAAGGCATTTGGATTTGGACAGAGGTGGTGTGATCTAATTTCACTAATTACGGCATCCTCAACGTCAAGGGTTCTTCTGAATGGCATTCCCGGAAAGCCCTTCCGACATAAGAGAGGGGTGAGGCAAGGGGACCCCTTGTCCCCGGTGCTCTTTATCTTAGCAATGGAGCCGCTGCAACGCATGCTTGCGATGGTAGCGCAAAGGGGAATACTTACTCCGCCCACTCCGAGAGCTGCAAGATTAGGGGCCAGTTTCTACGCGGACGGAGATGTTGTTTTTGTCAATCGAATAAGGAGTGAAGTCAAGGTGATAAAGGAGATTCTGCGCTATTTTGAAGAAGTGTCGTGACTGAAGGTGAACCTGGACAAGTGCACGGTCTACCCCATTAGATGTGATGGAACAAACTTGGATGATGTTCTGGGGTGTTTTTGGAGGCACCACTGCTCAATGGCCCTGAAAGTATTTGGGGCTTCTGTGGAGCATCAGAAAACTGTGAAGAGTGAAAATTCAGCGTCTGCTTGACAAAGCGTCCGCAAGGTCGATGTCTAGCCGCGACTATTGGACGCGGCTAAGACTTAACTGGCTGGCGTGTTTCAGTCTGATCGGGCCCTCTTTCTCTGTCTCACGCCGCCAGATCTAGCCGTATTGGCGGGTTGGTGCATCAAGACAGCGCCCCATGAATCGTCTGATCGCTTCGGTTCCCTTGCGATTTAGTTTAAATAGGAGTGAAGTCTAAAATAAACCCTGAGATTGTAGAGGTTGGCGGGAATAAACCCTCACCTCTAAATCTCTGAAGTTGGTACCCCATATTTATAGATCCCGGTCAATTCAGACCCTGTATGAGTAAAATCCTTTTTGGTGTAATACGTACGAAAGGCTTGATCCCAGCCGGGATTGATTTCTACTGTCACTTACTACATGGGCCCATCTGTCACATGCTATCCCCAGTATCTTCCTCAGTCCCAAGTGTGGCTAGGCGTGGCTGGCGGTCAAGGTGTCTGCTCCCGGGCACGGACCTGCTCTCCTGGGCAGAAGACCCCTGCTACGGCAACCTCCACGAGCGGGAGCAGCTGCTTGGCGACGCCCTCCAGGCGCCTCTCAAGCTCCTCGTCCAGCCGTCCAACCCGCGGACAGCGTCGGCAATGGTGGTGATGGGGGTACCGCCGGCGGCGGCCTGGGCGGCTTGGTCTTCCCTAAACTTCGTGAGGTCCACTACGAGTCTGGCCCGCTTGAAGGAGACGGAAGGTGGCGAGGTTGGTGCCCTGGTCGACGAAGTGAGCCCATCTCATCAACGCCCGTACTTTTGGTGCCGCTCGCCGGCGCCGCGTAATGCTGTCAGCAGCATGTACTGCTGCTGCTGCTCGCCGCCGCATACTGCTACTGTTTGTGCTCTCGCCGCCGCGGCGCGCATAGAAAGAGGCAAACTTCCTACACGCACATGCTACAAGCTAAACTCACACATGGTGACACTCTCCTAGTTGTGCTCTGTGCTAATGCACAACAACACAATAGTGAGCAAAATAATCAGAAGGCCCTCCATTTGCAACCGTGCCTGGAGCTCCTGCACTAGCTTGGCCTCAAACAAGAAGAACGTCGCCATGTATTGACTGCCAGACTCTGGGTCTATGGTCGTCGTCTGGTGGCTGCCATCTTGTGCTACTCTCCTGTGCTCAAGCTGGGCGCACTGCTGGGAATGGCCTCTGCTGGGGTGCAAGTGCCGGGCCAATGCAGCAGAGACTGGGAAGGACACGGCCACGACGTCGCCAGCAGTGCGCGTGTAGGTAAGCGATCCTCATGTGCGTCTGCAAGTACGCGTACACGTACGCCAATGAGAGAAGCGAGATCCTGGCCAGGATTGTGCTTTTCCCGGTGTGCCAAACGTATCTAGGGTTCAGATAGACCGGGATTAGAGAGGTCAGGGTACAGACTTCAGGGATTTGAAGGTGAGGGTTTATTTGCGTCCGCCTCTACAATCTCAGGGTTTATTTCCTCTTCAAATAGCGGTTCTTGTCGATCACCAACAAGCTGTCCATTCCGTATTTCCGTACAAACCACACACAATCTCACCGCGCGCAAGAAAGCTTATAGCACAAAACAATTAGCAAGGCGTGGCATGCCGCACGAACTCTGTCACCGCCCCGCAGCAACAGTGCCATCCTCTTGGGGCTCTCGGTCGTCCCTGACCACCTGCACGGCGGGCGCGGCCTCTCTGGCCCGCGAGAAGGACAGCCGGCCGAAGCCCCAGTGGCCGACGTCGTACATCTCCATCCACGCCTTCTCCGTCACGCTCACCCTCATCCTGCCATCCCCGAGCAAATTTACATCATTGGTGTTCTCCCACCAACCCGAGGCGGCAGTCCGGCCCATCCCGCCCCAGTCCCCCTCCTTGCTCGCCCGCGCGGCGCCGCCACTGCCGCCCAGCCCCTCCACCTGGTACAGCTGGTCGTCCAGGTCCCGGACGCGCCTCGTCTTCCGCAGCACGCCCCTGCTGATACGCCGCGTCTTGGCGCGCCTGACCCATCGCCGGCCGGCCACGTAGGGCGCCTTGACGAGCGCCAGCGTGAAGCAGCTCACCACGGCGCACGGGCAGCAGCACAGTGCCACGCAGTTGGCCACGGCCGACGCGCCGCATGTCCCGCATGACTGCCTGGCGGAGCGTCGCGCGGGCTCCTCCTCGCAGAGTGCGGGGAACCGGTACGGTGGTGACGACGCCATTGCCACCGGCCGAACGCGCCGACGGTACGTAGACTCGGCCAGTATGAGAGGAGTCGCTGACTTCTTGCCTGGAATCAACAAAGGAAGTAGTACATGGTCAGCGAATGTCGTTATCGATGGGTTGGAGACAGTAATTAAGCTGTGATTCAGTAGTACAATGTCACGCCAGCATGATATTATAATCTGTGAAGCAGACTGGAGACCCGGTGCAATGGACTGATGGTTTTGGTTTGAACGACAGCGCAGTGCTGGCCGGATAACCGCGTGTACTGCCTTTTAAAATGTGCTACAGTATAGACGTAGTTGTAGCTAACTACTTATATATCTAGAGACAAAAAAACAAATCATTTCGACAGAAGAAGAGAAGAGCAATCCTAGGTCTGGCGGAAAATACCCAAATACTAGGATAGAACATTTGGAAGATGATATGGGAAGCACGTCTCGGAACTCCCCTTTTTCCTTCTGCAAACACGTTCGTGACGACGACCACCAGGAATCGTTCCCTCTTGATCTCTTCCTTCCGCAAATAAACACTGACTTAGGTCAAGGCATGCACAAGTCGATCGAATCGAATCGAATCAGCGATACATTCGGCTTCCCAAACTAATAACATGTTCAACAAATGCGAAGAAACGCAGGAAAACGAAACGATCGATGCTTCTTACAGCATTACCGGGCAATTGGGTCGCAAGAAAGCTAAACGCGGGACTTATGTCCTGATAAGAGAAATCACTAACCACGCATGGGCATGTCATATTCAGCGAGCGTAGCGAGAATTCGGACTCACCTGGGAATGGAGGGAGATGGAAACCTGAGGATCTCGACTCTCCCGCGGGCTATCTACGCGCGGGCGAGGACTACGGCTACCGGCACTAGGAACCTGCCGGCCGCACGCGTCGTCGCGACGGTTGAGAGGAAAGAAGACGCGAGGGAGAGATGTCTTGCAAGGGGGCGGAATGGAATAAGCTTGCAAACGGAGAAGGGTTTTAAGCAGGCTGGAGAATGATAGACGTGGGATAAACTAGAATTGAACTGTTGCGATTGCAAGTAATTCAAAAGAAAAAAGAATGCTGAACTGTCAACTTATGGCAGATTGACTCTTCTGCCATGTATGTGGCTTTCATGTTTTTTTTTTTTTTGGTTCGTTGGCAAACACAAACTATTGTTGGAAACTGACTGTTTCGTTATGTCATAGCAGCCTTCTCTTATCCTTTTTACAGCAAGAAAAATAGCTCCTCATTCATTACTTATTATCCATGCATGCTTTTGGCAGCTTTTGACAAGGTTGCATACCCATCCACTATATCTTTTGAACTGAATGTTCAACTTATATTTCGTTTCATCTTTAAATTTGAATCTACTATAGAACCGAAAGTCCAATTTATATTTCGTTTGCATATTCGTGTTCCTTGCCACGAGGACTTTCAAACAAGATAAAACCTAAAAACATTTTGACAACATTAATTCTTTTGCCAAGTTTCAAATGTCAATACTTGGTAGTTGCAATATTAAGTCTTACTAGGTTTCGTAAAGTTTTAGAGCATCTATAGCCGGACTGAACAAATTTGGCCCCTCAAACGTCGGCGGACGCGCCCGGTTAGCGTCTGGGCTTGTCCACTTTGGCTTCCTATTTTTTCGTTCACGCAGCCATGTCCATCACTTTTGTTCTTATATGTCCTGTCACCGGTATGTGATTGTTGGAGAAGGAGAGAGAGAAAGAAAATAAATAATAAGGAAAGAAAAAAGATGCTCTATGGCGGGCCCAATCCTATGTGACGAACGTAGAACCACTGACGGACAAACCCAGGCACTCCGCATACTCATCTCATATATGAGATGAATATGAGGGTTGCCGGACAGCTCGGACATTTAAGGAGGCTTTGAGGGGTCCGGTTGGATCAATTTTTTGCTTCTCTCTCATGTCCAGCTAGTGGCCCCTACGTCCGCCTGGTCAATTTAAGGAGTCCTGCTATAGATGTTCTTATCAAGTTTCATTTGCTTTTATGGTTTAGGGTTTAAGGCTTGTGGGTTAGGGTTTAGGGTTTTAAGGTTGCGGGGTTAAATTCTAGTATCTGAAACTTGGTGAATTTATCATTTGATAAGTTTTAGTAGTTGAAACTTGTTAAGTTTTGAAAAGTTGTCAAAGGTATTTAAAAAGTGGTCATGTTTCAAAGCCCTTGCCACAAGGAAAACAAATATGCAAATGAACTATAAATTAATATTTTGGTTAAAATATATAATGGATTGAAATTTGAAAGTCAAAAATAAAAATATCAGAGGAGGGATTGTGGAGCTACCAAAAGATACAAAAAGTTGCAAGCATCGACCTCATCAAAGGTAATTAAGGGCTAAAGCACATGCAAAAAGTAAACCACGAGACAATCTGATGGCCACAAATATGCGTGCCACAAATCGCTTCTCACCATACACCTTCCCATGGGAGAATCTAACCAAGTAGTATATTCATAGGTCACACCATTCGCTCCATGTGGGCAATTTTCAAATTATATCCTGCCGAAATCCATGTATAAGTTAGAGAATCTATAGTCGGACATCCCTCAAACGCTCGGGCGGACAACCCGGTCACTAACCGGTCACAAAAATTCAACCCAGACAGGTGCCCCAACCGGGTCTCAAGCGCCTGGACTGGCCGGCACCCCTCATATCCAGCCAAAATATGGGGCAGAATTGGGGGTAGCCAGGCATGTCCGTCACGTCGGACTGATGACGGAGTCCCACACAGAATCGCCTGACGACGCCATAGACATATGGTAGGGTCATAGGCATGACCTATACACCCCATCCAAGGTCTCTACCCTAGAAGCAAAGACATTCAAAGCACAACAGGAAGTATCAACTGAAGCCACCGAGTGCAATCCACTCGACCACTCACCTCACCCGGATACCCCCACTTCACTCGACCTGGATGGAGTCATTCGACCATACAGGAATCCACTCAGAGTACAGAAGACCTGGAGTCACTCAGGAGGACAACGGTCAGACGTTCACTCCGTAGTCTTAAAGGTCATTGAATACATTTTATAGCTGGCGTTACCAGTAACGCCCTGTCTTAATGTACATTGAACCCCTGTAGCGGAGGTGGGCCGAAGTCCTGGCGCACTCTATATAAGCCACCCCCCTCCTCTGGGACAAGGGTTCGCACCCCTTGTAACACACACACCCATATTCCAGTCGACCGCCTCAGGGCACCGAGACGTAGGGCTTTTACCTCCTCCGAGAGGGGCCTGAACTCGTAAACTCGTGTGTACAACCTCGCCATAGCTAGGACCTCGCCTCCTCATACGTACCCCCTATTCTTACTGTCAAACTTAGTACCACGACAGTTGGCGCCCACCGTGGGGCAAAGCGTCTTAGCGACTCCCGACGAGGTTGCATTTTCTCCGATCTTCATCAACATGGTCTCCGGCCGCGGTTTGGTCATGTGCCGCGAGTTCCGACTCGGCGCGCTCACTTTCGTCGCCGACGACTCCGCCTGGCTCCAGGAAGCCCCGCTCGACGTCGAGGCTCTCTCGATCCATGGTGCGTCGCACTTCCACGCGAGTGCCTGCGGCGTCCTCCTTCGGCAGCCGTTGACCCTATATCGGTCGGACCTCACGTCACCTTCTCACTCCGCTGGACGCTGCCGCAAGCGATCTGGTCGGTCGCGGCTCCAGCGGTGGGTGAAGCATGTGGTGGCTCGTCAGACGACCATCCCCCAATTCGCGGCAATCGGGCCCGACGTATTTCACTATGGTCCAGTCGACTTGTCGACTGACTTTGTAGACACATTTTCCGAGAGTGGGAGCTGTGACCCCGTGGCAGAAGTCCTTATGGTCGACTCCCATCGCAGCCCACCTGGTTTCTGTCGCAGCGGCGGTAATGGTGGTGGCAATGGCCCGTCATTCAGCCACAAAGAGTATCAGCCCCAACCTTTCAATTCGCAGCAGAAGGAGGAGCTGCACTGCCGCAACGTGGAGGCCCTCCAGACCCCCATCATAGGGGAGACCGTCGAGGCTCGGCCTTCGAGGCAGTGCGCCCGGCCATGCTGGCTGAGCGCATTCGTTTGGACAATCTGCAACATTCTCTCGACGAGCATGCCCGTCGACTGATCCCCGAATCCAGTCGACGCCCACGACAGTTGTTTCCGCCGGAAACTCAGGTATTCCGCACTCCAATCCAGAATCTTGCAGCTGCTGCGCGTATCACAGAGTCTATCCAGCCGTCCCGTTAAGAAGCTGGAAGAAGTTTGGAACAGATCAGAACGCTGCTCCGAGTAGCAGAAGACCTGAACTCCACCGTTTCTTAGTCACGGAACAGGATCCACAACAGATCGGTAAGGGCAGATATTGTTCAGTCGGTACAGAGCCCTGGGTGGCCTTTGCGACATGAAGATCGTGATCACCGCCGAGATTGGCACCTGGAAAGAGCTCATGGAGAGTATGATTGTGAGTACGCCCGCGACAACCACCGTCGAGCGCCTTCGCCCCTTCCGAGGGACGGGTCATACGCGCCCCGGCGGTATGATGACAGGCGTCCATAGGAAATGACCGCAGAGTCCCAGTTGACCCAAGAGAGCCTGGTGAGGGATTCCTGGATAAGGGGGTATCCGGACAGCCGAACTATGTACTTTGGCCGGACTGTTGGACTATGAAGATACAAGATTGAAGACTTCGTCCCGTGTCCGGATGGGACTCTCCTTTGCGTGGAAGGCAAGACTTGGCAATTCGGATGTAGATCTCCTTCTCTGTAACCAACTCTGTGTAACCCTAGCCCCCTTCGGTGTCTATATAAACTGGAGGGTTTAGTCCGTAGGACAAGAACAGTCATACCATAGGCTAGCTTCTAGGGTTTAGCCTCTACGATCTCGTGGTAGATCAACTCTTGTAATACTCATATCATCAAGATCAATCAAGAAGGAAGTAGGGTATTGCCTCCATCGAGAGGGCCCGAACCTGGGTAAAACATCGTGTCCCCAGTCTCCTGTTACCATTAGGCTTAGA